TTGATCTTTCAAAGAACCAACTTTTGGTTTTGTTGATTTTCGCTATTGTTTTTCTGTTCCCTAGTTTGATTTTTTTCCATTCCTCTCTTTATTATTTCCTTCCTTCTTCTACCTTTGGCTTTAATTTGCTCTTTTTTTTTCTAGTTCCTTAAGTTAGATTGTTGATTTGAGATTTTTTTCCTTTATTAACATAGGCATTTCCAGCTATAAATTTCCTTATGAGAATTGCTTTTGCTGCATCCAATAAGTTTTGGTATGTTGTGTTTTTATTTCCATTCATCTCAAAATACTTTCTAATTTTCCTTGTGATTTCTTCTTTGACCCATTGGTTAGGAGTATGTTGTTTAATTTCCACATATTTGTGAATTTTTCAGTTTTCCTTCTGTTATTGATTTCTAGCCTCAATCCACTGTTTTCTGTGATGTCAATCTTTTCTAATTTATTGCAACTTATTTTGTGGCCTGACATGTCATCTATCTTGGAGAATGTTTTGCATCCACTTGAAAGGAATGTGTATTCTGCTCTTGTTTGGGTGGATTGTTCTGTATATGTCTTTTAGGTCTAGCTGCTTTATAATGCTGTTCAAGTCCTTTGTTATCTTACTGATCTTCTCTCTGGTTGTTCTATCCATTAATAAAAGTGGGGTATTGAAATCTCCCATTATTAAAAGTGGGGCATTGAAATCTCCAACTGTTCTCGTAGAACTGTCTATTTCTCCCACCAGTTACATCAATTTTGCTTCATGTATTTTGGGACTCAGTTGTTAGATGTGTAGATATTTATAATTATTATATCTTGAGGACTTGCCACTTTTGTCAACATATAATGTCCTTCTTTGACTCTTTTTAAAATTAATTAATTATTTATTTATTTATTATTTATTTTGGCTGCGCTGGGTCTTAGTTGCAGCATGCAGGATCTTCACTGCAGCATGTGGGATACTTAGTTGCGGCATGTGGGATTTCTTAGTTGTGGCATGCAGACTTCTAAGTTGCGACATGCAGACTCTTAAGTTGCAGCATGCATGTGGGATCTAGTTCCCTGACCAGGGATCAAACCCAGGTCCCCTGCATTGGGAGCACAGAGTTTTACCTGCTGGACCACCAGGGAAGTCCCCCTTCTTTGACTCTTGTAACATGTTTTGACTGAAAATCCATTTTGTCTGATGTTAGTATAGCAACCTCAGCTCTTTTTGGTTACTATTTGCATGGAATCTCTTTTTCCAACCTTTCACTTTAAACCTATATTTACCTTTGGATCAAAAATTATTGTCGGGCTTCCCTGGTGGTGCAGTGGTTAAGAATCTGCCTGCCAATGCACGGGACGCAGGTTCGAGCCCTGGTCTGGGAAGATCCCACATGCCGCGGAACAACTAAGCCCATGCGCCACGACTACTGATCCTGCGCTCTAGAGCCCACTAGCCACAACTACTGAGACTGCACTCTAGAGCCCACGAGCCACAACTGCTGAGCCCATGTGCCACAACTACTGAAGACTGCGCACCTAGAGCCTGTGCTCTGCAGCAAGAGAAACCACGCAATGAGAAGCCTGTGCACCACAACAGAGTGGCCCCCACTTGCCACAACTAGAGAAAGCTCGCATGCACAACAACAAAGACCCAATACAGCCAAAAATAATAAATAAATAAATTTTAAAAAATTAAAAAATAATAAAATTATTGTCTTGTAGACAGGATATAGTTGGATCTCTGTTTTTAATCCTTTCTGCCAATCTCTTCCTTTTAATTGGAGTGTTTAATAGTTACATTAAAATTAATTACTGATAGGGAAGGATTTACTTCTATCATTATTCAATTTGTTTTCTATATTTTGTCAGATGTAGAAGATATAGATATCTTATATCTATATCATATCTATATCTATACCTAAGTCTTATATCTTTTTTGTTCCTTATTTCCTCCTTTTTGTGTTTAATTGATTTTTATTAGTGTACTGTATTGATTTCCTTCTTATTTCCTGTTCTGTATATTTTTTATTTATTTTCTCAGCAGTTTCCCTGGAGATTACAGTTAATAACTTAAACTTATACCAGTCTATTTTGAATTAATATCAACTTAGGTTCAATAGCATACAAAAGTTCTGTTCCTATACAACTCTATTCTTCTCAAGTTGTTATTGTCACAGTTTACATCTTTATATATTGTGTAACCATATCTTTATATATTGTGTAACCAATCTCTGTGTAGCAGAGATTTACAATTATTGTCTTTTAAATTGCATTTGTCTTTTAAATTGTATAGCAAAAAAAGTATGAACCAAAACTATAATAATACTGGCTTGTATGTTTACCTGTGTAGTTACGTTTACCAGTGTTCTCTATTTCTTCCTATGGGTTTAAGTTACTGGCTACTGCCCTTTCATTTCATCCTGAAGGGCTCCCTTTTTCATTTCTTGTAGGGCAGGCCTACTAATGATGAACACTCTCAGCATTTGCTTATCTGGGAATATCTTAATCTTGCCTTCATTTTTTTTGAAGGATAGTTTTGCCTGATCTAGAATTCTTGGTTGACTGTTTTAGTCTCTTAGCACTTTACATATGTCATTGCACTGCCTTTTGACCTCCAGGGTGTCTGAAAGGAATGTGGCTGTCAATCTTGTTGAAGATCCCTTATACTTGATGTGTAGCTTCTCTCTCGCTGTTTACAAGATTCTCCTTTTGTCTTTGCGTTTTGATATTTTGATGAAAATGTATCTCAGTGTGGATCTCCTTGTGTTTATCCTACTTGGAATTTGTTCACCTTCTTGAATGTGTAGATTCATATCTTTCATCAAATTTGGGAAAACTTCAGCCTGGATCCTGCAGCTATACTAATTATAAACAAGCTCAGCTGCATCAGCCCCTCCCCCTGTGTATGCTTCAGCCATGGTCTCTCCCCACTGGCTCAGGCAGGGCCTGTCATCTGCAGGCTACAGAGAGGGAAACCAAGCCTCAGGGAGGTGCTATGACAGCCTGTCCATCCATTGGGTCCTTCTGTGATATTGTTCATCACCCACCACATGCTGGGTGCTGGACTAGAGCAGAGGAATCAAGAGCAATGTCCCAGGTACTGTAGGTACTCCAGGAAGTCCACTCCCCTTCATACCCCCTTTCCCCAGATGGCAGAGGAGAGGCTAAGGTTGTTGTCTTTCTCTCTCCCACCCTCAACCCCGACAGATCTGCCACCTCCCTACAATCTTCAGGAAGTGAAAGTCTCCATCATAAACAAATCCAGGTGTTCCTACCTGTTCCATCAGCCTGATTACCGCAGTCACAGCAGTAATAATATGATTTGTCCTGGCTCTGAGGATGGCACCACTGACACCTGCAAAGTGAGTACCCCTGCCCCAATGAGGGCCATACTGAAACTGGGTACCACCCCTCCCAATCTTGGGCCTGAGAGCAACCACCTTGACCCCCTACCAATCCACCCTTAGAGTTCATTCATGAGAAAATCATTGTAGACCTCATTTATCCAGCCTATAAACAAGCTTCCCGTTTTACATTAATTGTACCTCCTTTGATCCTTATGTGAAATTGAGTGGATAGACTATTGCCCCCCTTTGCAGATGCAGAAACTGAAGTTTTTTTGCTTCCAGGGGGAGGAGTGGGATTTGCAGCCAGTCTGCCCAGCTCCACAGCCCCTCCTGCTCTACCAGCCTCTCCATTGGCCCCTCCTGCCCCACCCCAGGTCTTGCTCACCCACACTGCTTCCCAGGGTGACCCAGGCAGACCCTTGGTCTGTGAAAAGAATGGGCTGTGGATTCAGACTGGAATCGTGAGCTGGGGAGTGGGCTGTGGTAGGTGCAATCAGGCTGGCATCTACACCAGTGTCTGTAGTTACTTCAACTGGATCCAGATGCTGGTGGGCCGCAGCACACCTAGGCCAGACCCCTCTCAGTTGCTGCTGCCCCTCGCTCTGCTCGGGGATCCCTGACTCCTGCAGCTGGCCTGTGCACACCTAAGCCCATGAGGGTGCAGTAGTTACTGCAGCTCCAGACATATGCGCCAAGGGCTGGGGGCACGCCAGTGGCAGGACTGCCTGCTGGACCAGGCCCAGTCCCCTTCTGTCCCCTTTGCTAATAAACGTGTGCATGTTCATGTTGATGCCTTGCACCACGTTCTATGGCCCTGGGTGGATTCCTGGATACCCTCACAGTTACCCGCGTCCCATCCACTCGAAGACCACTCCTTAACTCCTAAACCATCGTCACCCATTTGTGCTATACAGGTTTTGGTTGCAAACAACAGAACCCTCTCAGGTTGGTTCAATCAGAAAGATAATTTACAGGGATTTCCCTGGTGGTCTGGTGGTTAAGACTCTGTGCTCCCAATGTAGGGGCCCAGGTTCAATCCCTGGTCAGGGAACTAGAACACTCATGCCGCAACTAAAGATATCCTGCAACAAAGATCCCGTGTGCTGCAACTAAGACCTGGCGCAGCCAAATAAATATTTTTAAAAAAGAAAGATAATTTACAGGAGGACATAAGTAGCAACAGGGTCCCTGGGGGCTAGGAAGGCTGGAGTGGAGTGCAGGGGAGGAAATGCCCCCAAACACCCCTAGCGCTCATGCCGTGTTCCCCACCACACAGATGCCAGACGCTCCTGGTCTCACCACGGTCCCCCAAAGGCTGACCTGGGACCAGGACGAGGGTGCAGATAATTTATTTGGGAGGCGATACCAAGAAGCCCCAGTGAAGAGTGGGGAAACTGAGGCAGGAAGGGTGAGAGCCAATGACGTTCGCCCAGATGAGGAGGTTACCCTTGTGGGCAGCTGAGGCGCTGTCTGGCCAGGATCCCCTGAGAAATCACGGGGACACACCTCAGCATTGCCTGTGGGGGACGAGGATCCGGCATGGCCCTTTCTCTCCTGACTCCCCGTGGTTGAGGCTTGTCCTGGGGGCGTGGGGGCTCCAAGCTCCATAGGTGGCCTGGGTGGAGGGGCAGCATCAAGCATGTCTCCCCCCACTGCAACGCTGGGGTCCCAGAACCCAGCCTCAGCATGGCCAAGGGACCAGGCCAGCGGGACCGACTTGGGCTGCTTGGAACTGCTTGGGCAGATCTGCGTTTTCATGAGATCCAGAGGTGCTATGAGAGCAGAAGGTATGAGAAGTTCTGATCGATTGACAGCTTGTCTCTGTGAAGAGGCAGGTGGAGGCGTCTTGGGAGGGTGCCCTCCTCGCCTCTGCCCACCAGGACAGCCACACAGGCTGTAGGACACCACGCTCAGGCTTCATGCCCCTAGGCAGCCCTGCAAGGCTGGAGCTTCTCTTCCCCCTTATCACAGTGAGGAAACTGAGGCCCAGCAAGGTGACAGAACTATTCAAGTCACTCAGCTCACAAGGGCCTGTGTCCACCTCTCACTGCATGGCCTGACTCAGAGGGGCCAGCAGGTACCAGGCAGGTGGGGTCTCCCAGGTCTCCTGTAAGACTCACCTGCATTGAGATTTCCACTCCCCCATCTGCCCTCCCCAACAGCCAAAACCTGAGGGTGCCCCCACTCACCTCCCCCAAAGGCCCTCTGAGTTGACCCCAAGCAGAACACTCACTGTCCTGGGGTCCCCTGTGTTACTGGAGGACAGTGTGATTTAATGCCCATTAAGCGCTTGGCCCCAGACTGGCCACACTGCGACACTGCCCTGCAGGCCTGCCTGGACATTGCCCCTCCTCCAGCGCAGGCAGAGTAGCCTCTGGTGGCCCAGTGCCCATGTGACAGACTCATCCACAGAAATACCTTCAAGCCCACCCAGGTGCACATCCACCCATAGGGTCCTGTTCAGGGCCACCTACCCAGAGGCTCAAGAGGACTCCAGCCAGGTGCCACGGCATGCCCCTCCCCCTGGCCTGACTCACCCCACACCTTTGTCCCCCTTCAGGCTGCTTTGGATGACCCCTGGTTGTTGGGTCAGCATGGTGTGGGGTCTGGCTGTGGCCATCCCAAAGGGCCCAGCTTCTGCTGGGACATCAGTGAGCATGCCACCTGGATCCTGGAAAGGCCACCCCTTCCCACCTCCTGCTGCTGCCAGGTCTACAGGGTGCCCCTGGGATCTGGCCAAGGGCAGGGCTGGGCACTCGTCAGAGATGAGTCCTGTGCTGCAGATGGTGGGCTGGGCACCGCCATACTGAAACACACTGGCAGGGCAGCCAGCTCAGGGGGCACCTCCCCTGCACCTTTGTTGAACTGTTATTTTGTTTTCATCCTTGGCATTTAAAGACTTTGGTTGTAAGCAAAAGAATCCCCTAGTACCAGCATGAGTGAAGGAGAGTTGCTTTAGAAGGATTTGGGCAGATCTGCGTTTTCATGAGATCCAGAGGTGCTATGAGAGCAGAAGGTATGAGAAGTTCTGATCGATTGACAGCTTGTCTCTGTGAAGAGGCAGGTGGAGGCGTCTTGGGAGGGTGCCCTCCTCGCCTCTGCCCACCAGGACAGCCACACAGGCTGTAGGACACCACGCTCAGGCTTCATGCCCCTAGGCAGCCCTGCAAGGCTGGAGCTTCTCTTCCCCCTTATCACAGTGAGGAAACTGAGGCCCAGCAAGGTGACAGAACTATTCAAGTCACTCAGCTCACAAGGGCCTGTGTCCACCTCTCACTGCATGGCCTGACTCAGAGGGGCCAGCAGGTACCAGGCAGGTGGGGTCTCCCAGGTCTCCTGTAAGACTCACCTGCATTGAGATTTCCACTCCCCCATCTGCCCTCCCCAACAGCCAAAACCTGAGGGTGCCCCCACTCACCTCCCCCAAAGGCCCTCTGAGTTGACCCCAAGCAGAACACTCACTGTCCTGGGGTCCCCTGTGTTACTGGAGGACAGTGTGATTTAATGCCCATTAAGCGCTTGGCCCCAGACTGGCCACACTGCGACACTGCCCTGCAGGCCTGCCTGGACATTGCCCCTCCTCCAGCGCAGGCAGAGTAGCCTCTGGTGGCCCAGTGCCCATGTGACAGACTCATCCACAGAAATACCTTCAAGCCCACCCAGGTGCACATCCACCCATAGGGTCCTGTTCAGGGCCACCTACCCAGAGGCTCAAGAGGACTCCAGCCAGGTGCCACGGCATGCCCCTCCCCCTGGCCTGACTCACCCCACACCTTTGTCCCCCTTCAGGCTGCTTTGGATGACCCCTGGTTGTTGGGTCAGCATGGTGTGGGGTCTGGCTGTGGCCATCCCAAAGGGCCCAGCTTCTGCTGGGACATCAGTGAGCATGCCACCTGGATCCTGGAAAGGCCACCCCTTCCCACCTCCTGCTGCTGCCAGGTCTACAGGGTGCCCCTGGGATCTGGCCAAGGGCAGGGCTGGGCACTCGTCAGAGATGAGTCCTGTGCTGCAGATGGTGGGCTGGGCACCGCCATACTGAAACACACTGGCAGGGCAGCCAGCTCAGGGGGCACCTCCCCTGCACCTTTGTTGAACTGTTATTTTGTTTTCATCCTTGGCATTTAAAGACTTTGGTTGTAAGCAAAAGAATCCCCTAGTACCAGCATGAGTGAAGGAGAGTTGCTTTAGAAGGATAAAGAACAGCCCATCAAGGGCAAGGATGACTGGAATGAGGAGCTCCAGCTTCACAGGACCCTCTTTCTCAGCCTGGAAGGTTGCAGGCTCTCAGGCCAGCTGAGAGTCCTCGCCAGTGGCTGCAGCTATGGCTGCCCCCTGCCTGGGCCCCAAGGGGTCCTCTCTCCCTCCTCCAGGGTAAAAATCCCAGGGAAGGATTCTGATTGGCTGGTCTGGGGTCATGTGTTACCTCTTGATCAATCACTGTGACCTGGAGGACATGGTGGGATGATGGCCCCCGTTTGGGTCATTTGCCCTCCCCTGGGAGTGGGGACAGGTCCAGCACCAGAAAAACGTGGGGATGACTCAGCTATGGCCCTGAGAAGGATAGTTGTGAGAAGGGCAAGTAGATGACATTTGCTGAGGGGCCATTTCTGCAGTGTGACTCAAGGGTGGGACTGAAGGGCATGTGGGCCCAGCAGGGGTCTGTGCCTCAGTTTCTCAATCTGAGACAGGGGCTGGGTTGGGGTGAGCCCCTGGAACGAGGTTCCTTTCCTACTCCTCTCAGGTTTGATTGTCCAATATTCAATCAGTACCAGATCCTCCCACCATAAGCCAGTTTCTCAGTGGGAATTTGTTTCCTGGTCCCTGCACCCAGGTGTCTGTCCTCCAGGCTTCCCGCCTCACCTAAATTTCAACAGGCAGACACGCAGCTCCTTCCATCCCGCCTTCCAGTGAACTCCCCTCTCAAGGTTTGGCCCATATCTCCAGAGATAGCTATGTGTTCCCAGGGTCCCTGGTTACTCTTACTCCCACCTGCCTCTCCAGCTGCCCCAACTCTGCACCAAGGGGAACACTGCCCACCTGGCTCCATTCCTGCCAAGCCCTCTAATGGCAGCTGAATCCGGGGTAACGAAAGGTCAGGAGCCTTGGGGAAGGTGCTTCTTTTATTCTTGTGGCACTTCTATAGCATTTACATCAGCCAGGCACTATTCCAAGCTCTGCGTGGGCTAACCCAGTTAATCTTCACAACCACCTGGGAGGCGGGTTTTACAGAAGAGGAAACTCTCCCAAGGTCTCAGGGCTGGAGGGAGGGCGTTCCACAAGCTGACTCCAGAGTCCTTGAGCGTGGGCTTGAGCCTGCTCCTAGAGTGTGGACAGCAGAGGTCAGGCCTGAGGCTGCCCTCCCTCACTTCGAGTGGAGGGGCTGGGGCTGGGACCGGTTCACCTCTAGGTCCCCTCGTTCATATCCTTCACCCTCACTCCCGGCATGATGCCCTGCTGGCCCCTTTCACTCCCAAAGACTCAGTGCCCACTCTGTGCTGGGCACTGTTCAGGCCATGGGGGACTGGTATGCACTGAATGTCTGTGTCCTCTCCAAAATTTATATGTTGAAGCCTTAACCCCCAATGTGACTGTCTGTGGAAGTAATTAAGGTTAAATGAAGTCTTGAGGGTGGGCTCTGATCCGATAGGATTAATGTCCTTCTAAAAACAGACACCAGCACACACCCCCATGCCCAGCAGACATAAAGAGGAGGCCGTGTGATCACATAGTGACATGCCAGCCACCTACAAGCCAAGAGAAGAGGCCTCAGAGGGAAACCCATCTTGCCAGTTCCTTGTTCTTGGACTTCCAGCCTCCAGAATGGTGAGAAATAAGCTGTGTTTAAGCTCCCCAGTCTGTGGTGTTCTGTTCTGGCAGCCTGAGCTAAGACAGGGACAGAGACCCAGACCCTGCCTCATGGAGGGAGGACAAACAGATCAAACCTCCTCTATCACACATCAACTCCCACTGTGACGTGGCAGAGGAGGTGTGCTGGGCAGGAAGGCCCCCAGGAGGAAGAACCAAGTGGAGGGCTGCTGGATGATTTGGTAGAAGGAGGTTCCAGAGCCTTCTGGGAGGTGGGCACAGTCCAAGCCCAGCCCGCCAACTGAGCCCTGTCCCCAGCATCTCCCAGCCTCACCCAAGACCAGCAGCCTTGCTGTCCTGGCCACCCCAAATTGAAGAGGAGACTGTTTCCCAAGGTCAAGTCTGCTCCTGCCTCTAGGGTTAAGCGAGGAGAGCTGCCAGGTTTAAACAAGATATGCATAAGACATTCATTCCCCTCCCCCCCACAAAAAAAACTGTGCAGAGCTGGGGCTGGGAGGGGCTATGCAAGGCCTGGAGTCTGGGCTCTGTATGAGGCTGTCCCGGCCAGGATTTCTGGACAGAACAATGCTGTTCAGAAGCCCCAGTGACTGAGCACTGCAAGGAGCCAGGAGGCAGGATCAGGTTCAGAGATGAGTGGCCAAGGATCCTCTGGAGCTTTGTGGACTGACCGAAACAACCCCGACCCCCGTTCATCCCCACCCCACATCGCCCCCCCACTTGCCTGGCTGGGCACAGGCTCCCGCCCCCAGTTCTGTGCACCTTGGCCCAAGCCAGGTTTCCTTTGAGAAGTCCAGGTGTCCCTTTCCTGCCACCTCAAAAGCACTGTTCAAAGCATCTTTGTTCAAGGCTGGGCCTGAAGCCACAGCCCCACCCTGACCTCCTTAATTACCTCCTGGCCAGGCCCCCACCCCCTCCTGGGTCTTTAAGCCCCCAGGTCGTCCCCCAGCCCAGTTAGCAAGGAGGACACCAGCTGCAAGTGTGAGAACAGAATCCAGGGGCTGCGGGGTCTAGGGGTGGGGGGCACACAGCAGCAGCTGTCAGGCAATGGAAATACAAGATGGGGGAGGGGCTGGGCTCCAGGGCTTGTATTGAGACCTAAGGTGGCCAAATCTCACAGTGGGTGCGGGGCAGGGGTGGTCTCTGGGGCCTGGGCATAGGGCATAGAGCCTGGGCCACAGGGCTAGGTCTGGGACAAACCAGGGTCTAAAGGAAGACAAAAGGGCCTCTGCGGGGGCTAGATCCTCCTCCTTTCTCTGCAGGTTCCAACCAGAGGGCACCCTCATTCCTAATCTCTGACCTCCCTCCCCTCACCCTGTTATCTGACACCAAACCCATAATCCAGTCCCTTCCCTGCTTCCTCCTCCAGTGTGCCAACCCCCCTCCACCCCACCCCACCCCCCCACCCCACCCCCGCAACCTTAGCCCTGTGTCTCCCTGCCCCCAACCTCCTCCCAGTTCCCCGCTCCTCTGCTTGCCCTTGAGTTCCCCTTGTCCTCCCACAGCCTGCGGGCAGCCTCACGTGTCAAGTCTCATCGTGGGGGGCCGGGACACCCAGGACGGAGAGTGGCAGAGGCAGGCGAGCATCCAGCACTGCGGGGCACGTGTGTGTGGGCTTGCTCATCGCCCCCCAGTGGGTGCTGATGGCAGCACACTGCTTCCTGAGGTGAGCAGGCACCCCAGGCTTGGACAAGGGGCATTCCCCTACTCTGAGGGCTCAACGTCGAGGGGGGCAGGGGCGGGTGCAGCAAGACCCACGGAAGGCGGCGCGCCACTTGGTGGAAGCATGGTCCCCAGGCTCTGAGTGAGAGGGTGGCGGGAATGGGGGCCCTACTGGGGGTGGAGAAGGAGCTGCTTTAACTAGACCCGCTGCCATCTGAGTACCCCGTGTGCCTCGGGGCACTGCACCTGTGTCCTGCCTCGCCCCACGTTCTCTTGGTGCCCGTGCAGAGGGTGCTGCTGCCCCCGGACTACTCAGAGGACGGGGCCCGAGGAGACCTGGCGTTGCTGCAGCTTCGCCACCCAGTGCCCTTGAGCACATAAGTCCAGCCCATCTGCCTGCCTGAGCCTGGGCCTTGCCCACCACCAGGCACACCATGCTGAGTCACTGACTAGGGCAGCCTCCACTCAGGAGGTGAGGCAGAGGGCGGGGCACTGGGGCATTGGGGCGGGACAGGCGATCTCTCCACCTCTCTCTGACCAGGAATCCCAGCCCCTCACTGCCCCAATCCAGGACCCAGCGTGACCTCCAGGGACCCAAACATCCTCCCAGTTCTTCCACCTCACTGTCTCCCAGCTCTTAGAAGTCCCCCTTCTCCAGTGCCACTCCCAGAGTGGCGACCTCTGCAGGGAGTACGGGTGCCACTGCTGGATACTTGCACCTGTGACCTCCTCTACCACATGGGCACCAATGTTCCTCATGCCAAGCACATAGTGCTGCCAGGGAACCTGTGCACCGGCTATGTCAAGGGACAGAAGGATGCCTGCCAGGTGCGAGAAGCTTCCTGGAAACTCTGGAGTCTATGCTGCTATGGCCAGCACCCTACCTCCTTAGAACCCAGGACCTAGGAGGTACCACCTCCAGGGCTCAGTGTCCTGGACCCCAACCCAGAGGCACCACCTGGGGGACTGCAGCCCTGGGACCCAAAGTCTCTGGAGGGCTGGGACCTAAGCTGGTTTTTCTCCTGCAACGTGACTCTGGAGAACCCCTGACCTGCATGAGGTCTGGGCGCTGGGTCCAATTGGGTGTGGTGAGCTGGGGCAAGGGCTGTGCCCTGCCCAACCGTCCAGGTGTCTATACCAATGTGGCTACTTACAGCCCTTGGATTCAGGCTAGCCTCAGCCTCTGATGCAGTGACACTGACCTGAAGGCAGACTCTGGAGTCCCTCAGCTGCCTGGTCTGTGTGGGGATCTACACATCCCCCACCCTGCCCCTTCTGACTTAGAGGCTTAGAGGCCTAATAAAGTTAAGGGGCCATCCACCCATCCATTCATCTGTCTATCCCCTGCCTCCTCCTTGGGGCTCACCAAACCCAAGCTGCCAACCCTCCTCCAGGAGCCTCCCGAGTGTCCCAGGGTCTCACACTCCCTCCCTTCCCTTCCTGCTCATATTTAACACGCTGAGCTCCAGTCAGACAGGCAGTGAGTCAGTGCTAGGTCTGGTCTGTGTGCCCTTCTTTTCTGGAAGAAGTCAGAGAAACTCAAATATGAGAGGGATTCAACACCAAGGAAATGACTGTCCATTGCTAGCTTTGAAGATGGAGGGGCCACGTGGCAAGGAGCTGAAGAAAGCCCCTGGCTGACAGCCAGCAGGGAAAGGAACACCTCAGCACTACAACTGCAAAGAACTGAATTTGGCCAACAACCAGAACAAGCTTGGAAGCCAAGTCTACTCCCAGCCTCCAGATGAGAACCCTGACAGGCCAAGCCCTTGATTTCAGCCCAGTGAGATCCTAAGCAGAGAACCCAGTTTAGCCCACCCGCAGAGTAGTGATTTAATAAATTAGTGTTTACGCTGCTATGTTTGTAGTCATCTGCTACACAGCAATAGAAAACTCATATAGATTTTGCCCCACTGCAGTGAAAGTGCCCCAGGAGGCAGATGGCCAGCCACCAGGCCTGGCCTTCCCATGAATTCTGTGGGCAAAAGGCTGTGGGCACATCTGCGGTGGGACCCTGGCCGCCCCTGCTGGGTGATGCTGGCCGTCCTCCCATCCCGCCCTCAGCCGGGGGCCAGCCCAGAGAACTTCCTCAAGATGCCTCCCAAGGTACTGAGACCAGAACAAGCCAGGGACTGAGAGCCAGGATGCCTCAGTCTTGGACCTGCCATGATTAGAGTAATGGATCCCCATTCAGAGCCCAGTGTTTCTTTTCTTTCTTTCTTTGGCTGTGCTGGTTCTTAGTTAAGGCTCACGGGATCTTCGTTGCAACATGCAGGATCTTTAGTTGCGGCATGGAGGATCTAGTTCCCTGACTGGGGATCAAACCCGGGCCCTCTGCATTGGGAGCGTGGAGTCTTAACTGCTGGACCACCAGGGAAGTCCCAGAGCCAAGTGTTTCTGAAGCATAAGGTGAGAGCTAAGCAGGGGTGTCCTAGAAGTGGAGTGGGCGGGCTGCCCACGGAAGGAAATGAGCAGAAATCTGCTACTCCTCGTTAAACCCTCACCAGACACGGTGCAGAGAGCTCTACTGCACCATCTCATGAGATTCTCACTAGACACTCTGTGAGGGGGGGGTTTCCCCATTTATCAGATGAGAAAACAGGCCTAAAGGCATACAGCTGGTAGACCGTAGACTGCGATTTGAGCCCAGGTGGTCTGATTCTGGAGGCAGCTGGGGGTGGTAAAGAGGGTATTACCGCCTTGGTTCTCTCCACTTCCTCCCACTCCAACAGTGTGGCCTCCAGGCCCGCCTCCTCTCTGCTTGCTCCTGTTGTGGCAGCCTCACAGGGCTGGACAAGCTACAGCTCTTCTCTGTCCAGCAGGCTCAGTGGCAGGGCACCCTGTGCTGCTGCATCCCGCCTGTCAGCAAGGTCATTGGGCCTGGGGCTGGGGCAGGGCGGGGTGGGGGTGGCGGTGGCGGTGGCGGTGGCGGTGGCGGTGGCGGTGGGGTATGGACCTGGCCCTGCATCAGTAGCATCCTGCCCCTGGCCTCACAACGGCTGCCTGACCTGCCAGGAGGGAGCCCCTGGGGCGGCGAGGATAGTCCTCAGAACCCACCGGGGACAGGACATCAGGCTCCTGTCCAAGCAAGCATTCTCTAGCCGCTCACCTGCTCCAGTTGGTAGAGCTGCAACCAGATGGCCCAGCCTCTCCCAGGAGTACTGACTCAACCTCAGTTTCCCCATCTACAATCTGAACTGGTAACACCAACCCTATCATGGCTGTAGGGAGAGTCAAAATGACTCAGTTCTGCCCAGCGAGCACGCAGGCTGCGCCAGGCACTGGCGGGCTCTCAGCTGATCTCTGAACACCCGTGAGGTGTTCCCATTTCACGAATGGGGAAACAGGCCCAGAAAGGCTAGGTAATATGCCCTAAGACCCACAGCAGGCAAGAGGTGGAACCAGATTTGAATCTGGGCGACTGACTCTAATTCCACACTGAACTGTCACTTCCCTCATAGAAATGAAACCAGTTGTATGACACAACTAGAGGCACACTAGTAACGAGTGATGATTGACAATTACTGTTTATTAATCAACACTTTAAAAAGTTTAAGTAGACCAAAGGAGAAGTCCCACCAGGCTGATACCCTACAGGCTTAGTTTGGAGGCCGGGGAGGGTCTCTATCGTGAGCGCTGGGTGGTTGAGGCCACAGGGCAGAAAGGGCCCAGGAGGACTTCCTGTGCAGAGAAGCAAGAGCAGCTGGCCAGCTGGCTCACCCACCATCTTGAGACTCCCATTTTGTCTGTCATGGCCCCCAGGAAGGAGGGCCTGCACCCAGCTAGACCACAGAACTGGGGGGCTGGGGGCTCAGCCCCTGCTCCTCCTTCAAACTTCTCTTGACCCCATTCCCACTGCAGGAGGTGTCACTGTACTCACTGACACGAGGACTGCAGTTACCTCCTGCAACCGACCCACCCACCATAGCACAATGGGGTGCACAGAAATCCCATCTGAGGGAAAGGGCTGCCTTGAGGCACAGGTGTGGAGGAGTCCCAGGAAGGAAAGGGACTTCAAAGGACTCCTGAGGAGCCAGAGGCCAGAAGTCAAAAATGATAACTATAGCTATAGTTTAGGAAACATCTATTGAGTGCTAACTCTTGGTGATGTTACCTGCAAACTGGGTTTGCCTCTTGGTGTCAAGCGAAAAGACCAGAACCAAGCCAAAGATGGGGAGAAGGAAGGATTTATTATTATTTGCAGCAAGTGAAGAGAACACCAGGGATCTTTCCCAAAGCAGTGTCTCCCCGAACAGCAAAATTGGGGGAATTTTAGGCTAAGGGTACATGCATATTCATGAAAAGGGCTTGCAATGAGGCCAGGCTTAGATCACAAAGTGGCTTAGGCCAAAAATGGCTTCTCTTCTGTCAAGAAAACCATGCTGGGTTCTCTCTCCAGGGACCTCCCCCCCATCTGCTTACAGCAAGGCTCCACAAACTTTATAAACAGTTATTCTCCAATCTCAGAGAGGGGGAAACTGGGCCTTGGTGAGGTTAACTGCCCAAGGCTGCACACTCAGTGCCAGAGCAAGGATTTGAATCCCAGCAGGTCTGAGCCCAGAGCCTGCATGGCTAGCCGCCAGCTTGATTCAGGGCCAAGGCAGCAGCATCTTCAGATTCCACCCACTCCAAAGAATCCTCAAATTGTGGCCTCAACAACTGCTGAGCTGTTCAGCATCCAGGGTCACCACTGGCTCCTCTCTCACTGGGTGCCACGGCATGCCTTCTCTGGCACGTGCCAGCAATGACTCAGCTGAGGTTCTCCCTCTCCCTGGGAGAGGTTGAAAGAAAAGCCTCCTTTTCTTGCTCTAGTATAACTGCAATTTGGGGCGACGCAGGAGAGCATCCAACTACCAAGGAGGGAGGCCTAGGCTGTCAGTAGGTACGAAGGGCAGCCAGAGAGGGAAACCAAGTCCACAGGCCCTTCTGGAGCCTGAGTGGACCTGGGCAGAAAGGCGGGCAGTTGCCCAGGGCACCCTCCTCCTGGGAAGCGTGAACACCAACTTTGGCCATGCATGCTGCTTCTTCCAAGGTTTGCCAGGCCTTGTTATCAAATGGGGGCCCTGCTGCTTGCTGCTCACAATCAATTGCATACTTACAAATGTTGGTGGCAAAGGAAAGGTGCTTTTAATCAGAATGCCAACAATCTGGGGAGATGGTAGACTCAGCGTCCCCCAAAAACCACCTCCACAGATTGTGCTCGGCCATGAAATTTTAAAGGGCAGAAGGGAAGTAATCTCAGTTAATTGTTGAGATAGCGGGTCAGAATTATTGCCATCCCTCCACTGCATGCAGGCTGGTCAACTTCTTGGGCTCTTCCTCTAGATGTTATCTTGTTCACACAGTTTAGTCACAGTTTGTTCAGGTTACTGAAGGGAAAGCTAGGGAAGAGATCTGGTCATCTGTTAAATACTTGCTCATTTCTCTAAAGAACCAACAAGTTTGGCAAGGTATTGTGTAATTAAAAGATTTGAAAGGTGTGCTTGGGCCAGAGATGGGTAGAACATGGGGTGGGTGGAGGGGCAGTGCCTGGTTTAAAAGTTAGTTACAGGGACTTCCCTGGTGGGCCAGTGGTTAAGAATCCACCTTCCAACGCAGGGGGGCAGGGGGTTGGATCCCTAGTCAGGGGAATTAAGGTTCCACGTGGTGAGCAGTATGCCCCCCCCAAAAAAAAGTTAGTTACAATATAGCTTTGCTAAAGTGACAAGAAAAGGGGCTTCCTGCTGAGGGCGGTTTCCTGCAAAGAGCTGCTTACACACTCCCTAACCCCAAAAGCAGCTTCCAAGGATCCTTACAGGCCCTAAAGCCTCGGTAAACTGGTTTAAATAATCCTTACAACTAAGGCTAGGGCAGGGACATGGGGCTGTTCCCTAATACGGCGGCCGAAAGATCCAGAATTTTTTTTTTTTTTTTTTTTTTGGGCCTCTCCCATTGCGGAGCCCTGGCTCCGGATGCACAGGCTCAGCGGCCATGGCTCACGGGCCCAGCCGCTCCGCGGCATGTGGGATCTTCCGGAACCGGGGCACGAACCCGTGTCCCCTGCATCGGCAGGTGGACTCTCAACCACTGCGCCACCTGGGAAGCCCAAGATCCAGAATTTAACACCTCCTCAAAACACCCGCCAGGAAGACCCATAATCATGAGTCAGACTCCCAAACCTGGCAGCCCAGGTCTCACTGAGATGTGAATGTCTTGCCGCCCTGATGACCGAGACACATCATTCATTCACTCTCATTAGGCTGTGAGACACCCTACGCTTGAAGTTAGTCCCCACAAGGCTGACATTCCCCACAAGGACGGGAGTCCCCTAGACTGCATCAACATGGGGAACTCGGTTTGCCACACCCAAGATGGCGCCACCGCGCCCTGCGTCCCTCCCGCGCTCGGTCCCTGTCGGCCTCCCACTACCTCCGCCACTTCGCCAACCGGCCCCGCCCCGCGCCACGGCGCCCAGTCCGCAGTCTGAGGCTCGGCCGTAGCGCCCCCTTTGCGGACTACTTAAAATGGCGGCTGTGGGGCGGGGCCGCCAGGCGCGGGGCACGCTGGGAACAGCGCGCGGGCTGCCGGGAACGGGGCGGAGCGCGGCCGCGCCGGCGCGTCGAGGGGGAGAGGCAGCCGCCGCGATGGTAAGCGGGCCCTGGGGGAGGGGCGCTTGGCCGGGGCCGGGGCCGGGGGCGGCAAGGGCGGTGGGCCGTGCGGGGGGGCCCGGGCTCCGCGCTCACCCCGGCCCGCCGCCCCCAGGACGTGTTCCTCATGATCCGGCGCCACAAGACCACCATCTTCACGGACGCCAAGGAGTCGAGCACTGTGTTCGAGCTAAAGCGCATCGTCGAGGGCATCCTCAAGCGGCCGCCGGACGAGCAGCGGCTGTACAAGGTGCGGTCCCGTCGGTTCCGGGCGGCCGGGGGCTGGGGGACCGTGCTGCTCGGAACCGCCGCCCGAGCTTGGCCGTGGGCGCAAGGCGACCCAGTCGTTGATGTAAACATCAGCGACCGGCTGCAGCGGGCCGGAACTCCGCCGCGTGGGGCCGTTGCTCGAACTCGGGGAGATGAAGCCCCGATAGCGGTCACTACACCGGGGGTCTCCGTTCGGATGGCTTGAAAGTCGCGCGCCAGGCCCTATGCTGAGCGCCGAGGGCCAGCGTCACATCTGATCCCTACAGCGGTCCCACCCGCGACGTGCCGGCCCTTGATTTCCCTGCTCTGCGGTTAAGGAAACAGGCTCGGAGTTGGCCACTTAACGAGGCCAAGGTTGTTGGCAGAGTCAGGATTTGAACCCCGATGCTTAATCGTGTGCAGGACTCTTACACGCCCCCCGCCCCAGACACGCCTTAATACAAAGAAATGGAGAAATGGAGGGTGTTGAGATGAGTCAGGTCCCACCAGTTCTTCACCCAACAACTGTTTATTACTCCCCAACTTACTGCTGATGTTCTAAAAGCCCCCGCCCCTTTCCCCCTTACAAACCAATTGCAATTATCCAGCAAGGATGTCGTGGGATTTGGGGTTTTCATTGGGGAGTCCTGTTTGTTGGCCCCTCATTTCAAGTTTCTGGCAGCATGAGGTCCCTCACCTAAGTTCCTTGATCTGATTCTGGGTGGAAACGGGGAAACTGATCTTTTGCTGCAGGCTGAGCTTTCAGAACCCCTTTGTCTCTAAAGGCCTTTTCTTCTTGTTACCTGCTGGGGCTTCTGTAATAAGGACCCTTCCTACTGCCTGAGCTTGTTTCACTTGCTGTGCTCCGTGCTTTCTGTAGGTCCTTTGCTCATTGAAGCCTCTGGCTGCCCTATGAGTTGGGAATTCCAATAACTCCCATTTTACAGATAAGGAAACTTCACATCAAAAAGATCAACCACCTTGTGCAAGGTGGTAGAGCTGGGATTCAACCAGGTCTGCCTGTGGCCAGATGGGGTCACTGACACTTGAAATTAGATTCACCTGGAGTTGCAGGGGGTGTAGATTGAAATTAGATTAGATTCACCTGGAGTTGCAGGGGTGTAGATTCCAGACCCCTACCCTACCCTGGGAGGTTCTGATTTGGAAAGTCTTGGGTGTAGTCCTGGAAACTGTTTGATATACTCTGGGGTGGTTCTGGGCCCTACTTGGGGCTGTTTCTTTTCCGTCTTCTGACTTTCAGTGTAGCTGCTGACCAGAGAAGTCTTTGGGACTTGCCCCTCCTGGGGCCTCTTCTGAGACCCTGCCTGCCTCTCTCCTCAGGACGACCAGCTTCTGGACGACGGAAAGACATTGGGCGAGTGTGGCTTCACCAGCCAGACAGCACGGCCTCAGGCCCCAGCCACTGTGGGGCTAGCCTTCAGGGCAGGTGAGAGGGGCAGCGACAGGGTGGAAATGGCCAAAGAAAGGGGTGGTCAGGGAGCCTGCAGTTGTTCCTCCTGGACCATGTCTCCCAGTTCACCAAATGCAGGCAATATCCTGTAATAGTGTGTTTGCTTCCCCATTAAAAACAATGAGAAGCACATGAGATACTTGTAGAAATTGAAGCCCATTTCATGTAGGATTCAAAGATTCTTAGTCACAGTACCAGCTTACATTTACAGAGAACTTACTGAGCACCTGGCCCTGCACTCTGCATTTTATTTCTGTTGTCCCATCTAATCCTCTTGATAGCCCTGAGGCGTAAGCACTGCCATCCCCATTTGGGAGACATGGACGCCGAGGCTTGCTGGCAGTCATGTGGGAGGCCACAGTTCAGCTGCAGGCTGCCAGGACCTTGTCTGAGCTGGGCACCATGCCAGCCAGTGTCTCCGTGGTACATCACTTACTCCCCCAGCATCTCTGTACAGGCCAGAGTTGTACTGTGATCATTTTAAGGATGAGTAAACTAAGCCTGAGGAGGTTAGATCAGGTTCAGCCCTTTCTTGCCCCAGAGCCTGTACTCTCCTTAACCACATTCCACCCTGACCAAAGTTTAGAAACTTGAGGGGTGGGGGTGGTTTATGTTGCTCCTTTTGCCAAGAAAAAGATTTACATTTTATCCCTTGTCTCTGGAAATTTAAACAGGGGTTATAGGGTGTTTTCACAGCTGTAGACAAACCCAGGGGCTGTGTGAATGGCTGGGTAAATCTGGATGAAGTTACAGGGAGTTATTTTTCTAGCTTCTTATAAGAAAATGTAGCAAGGGCTCAGGAGGGAGCATATAGCCTTAGCTGCACTTCTTAGTTTCATAAGGATAAACTATGTGAGGCCTCAGCAGCTGTGTCTTTGGGCAGCTACTTCATGCCCCTCACCTCCCAGACTGGAGTTTGTCTCCATAAAGGAGTGACACCGGGACCAGCCTCACAGCAAGGCAGTGTGAGCCCCTGTGCACCCCAGGCCCTGCAAGTGCTCAGGAAAAAGCAGTCTTACGGGCCTTTGTGTGCGTTCCCTCAACTCTCACAGTGACAGTGAGGCAGGTGAGGGGCTGGTGCAGACTTTGTACAGGGTGGGTACTATATACAAGGCTGTTCTCTGAGGCAGGTAAGGGAGGGCTGAAAGCACATCTGTTCTTCCTAAGCCAGGGCCAGGCTGCATTCTTCCAGAAAAAGTGTCTCTTCCTCTAATTTGAACAAAGGCACCCTATAGACTTGCAGCTACTCAACCATCTTGCAGGTGAAAAAAACTACAGCACAGTGAGGTGGTTTTTTTCTCCCCATGACCCCCACTTATGGCATAGATTGTGGACCCTTGGTGGCATCACTTCAGGTGTGTCATTGCTGTTTTGATAGGGGCTGTGGTGTGGACTGTAGTCCATCTGCTTCCACTTGCAAAAACGTACTTCTGGGTGGGTAGTTGTTTCCTTGTGCAGAGACGGGTCTCTCCCCACCCCCCAAAATGGTTTGCTTAGTTAGGGAGATATGATAGCATCTGGTGTTAAATAGCATCTTCCAGACTTTATTTCCAAAGAATGGGGAGAGGTGATGAAGGCATGAATTGTCACTCAGATTTGTGGCTTGGAAGATGAATTTGTTATTAAGCTGGGCCATGTGTCTTCACCTCAGAGCTGTTGACATTTGGGACTGGCTGTCAGACCTGACCGACTTCCCCTGGGGAGCCTAATTGGTTGAGATCCCTGAGCCAGGTGGAGAGAAGTTTTCCATGTAGAAGAAAAAGTTGTGTTCATTTGATCTGTGAAGTAGTAACAGCAGGAA